TATGAACACAAATATAGATAGTTACATGAATGGGAGCACTGGCTTTGCATGCCTTTTGAATGATTGATTAAATCTGGCTTATGACTTGTTGTTTTAAGTTTCAAGCACAGCTCTAAATTTTTATTTGTTAGTTGATTTCAAACGTTACTTTTTATTATATTCATGCAAGAGAACGCTTGCTCTCACGAATATGTCGACCCGAAGATCGTCAGTACTCCATATGCCAATTTCTTCACCTCACTGTACCTTTCTGGAAGACTATTCCATGCCCCGAATATGAGGGCCTCAACTCGCGGAATTTCTTTTTGAGCTGTCCTCTTGTGCTGCTCGACGTGCATGCATTTCTGGACCTCCAACTCTTCCAACTTGCTCTTGAGTTCTGTGAACATGTCACTCCACAAGTCTTTGGTTTTCAAATATAGCAGTTGCATTTGAAGCGATCCAGCATCAATTCTAAATGTCTCATTGTTGATATCATATTTATTTGCGTTGAGAGGATTTACTATGAACGCAAGAGTACTTTAGTTTGTTTTGAATTGCTTGAATCTCTCAGCGAATCCATCCTTCATATCTCTTAAAGCTATGTTGAAATAATTCGTGTCAATAGTCACTTTGGTCTCATTGCGATATACTACATCAGATTTTTAAAATGAATTAATTTACCGCTCTCCATGTCTTCAACAAAAACAAGTAATTTGTTTTCGAAACAAACTACTTGTTCGAGCAAGGCGTAGGGTGGGTTACCCTTTTCTTTCAGTTTTAGATTTAGTTCATTTAGTTTCATTGTGGTATCTGCCACAAAATAGAAGTTTTGCAACCGTTTGTCTTTTTCCAATTCGGGATGATCAATGCTTTTTTCATTGAGGAATGTTTTTATTTCACTCAAGCACAAAGTAAAACGTTGCAATACGTTATCTCTGGAAAGCCATCACACTTTATTGTGCAGAAGTGGGTCAGAAAACTGGTTATCTGTAAAGGAAATCTTTGAACTGGTGATGGTAGAGTGCTTTTGCAAAATGCTGTTAATAATCTTAATTACCAAGTTCATGACCTCAACAATTTCGGCCGGAAATGTTTGGGCACAAAGCGCTTCTTGGTGAATTACACAGTGAAACGTTAGAGTTTCATGGTTACTTTTCTGAAGAATTGATGTTACACCTCTGTGTATTCCTGTAATACTTCTGGCTCTATCAGTTGCTATCGAAACGATTTTATTTATATCGATTCCATTGTCTTCCAGGCATCTTTGCACAAGCATTTGCTATATCTTCTCCACGAGAATTTGCCCTGAGAGTGATAACAATTCTACAGTTCTTCGTTTGTACCTTGGGAGGACATATACCCTACGAAAAGGGTAACTTGTGTCGTGTCTTTTATGTCACAAGACTCATCTATAGCAAGTGATAAGGCAGAAGCCAGCTGAATGTCTTTCACTTGCGTATGTGTTACATTTGAAAACATCTTAGCAGTTCTATCTTGTACTGGTTTTGCAGATAAAGGCAAATCTTTGATTTTTTTCATGATTTCTGCTTTGATTTTAATATCACGAAACAGTTATTCAGATGCACGTATAAAACAATCTTTGAGGTATTTGACGTGAATGGTTTTACTCTTTTTGCAATTTCTAATGATACTGCAGAGCTTGGCAGATTTACATTATTGGAAGATTGTGCCCGTTACTTAGCATGGAACTTGACTTTTTTTTTTTGGAGCTCTTCAAGAGCTTTTTTGGTGCGTCCTTGTTTGGATATTTACCAGCAAACTGGGTATATTTTGTAGTGAAGTCTCTTCCCAAATTCGACTTCTTATTGTGTGCGTGTTTTTGGTGGCAAATGAGACAACTCGGAAGGCCATCTGTGTTGCACATGAATGCAAACGACTCCGCCCAATCCTGATTGAATTCTCTGTTTTCTTCTTCAGTTCTTCTCTTTTTTTGCCAGCTGCCATGCTGACAGCGGAGCTGAAAAAATGAACAATAGTTCAAATTAACAGTACAGTAACAATGGTTCAAATTTATCTCATTACGGTCATGTTAAGCTTAATTAACGATTATGAAAATTGAAGCTATTGAGAAATTAGGTACTTAAAAAACATATTTTCTTAAAGGGTTTTGATAATAATATATTAGTTTTTCCGTATGGAACAGGAGAGCCGCAACTTTACATCAAAAGAGCCGCAGGTTGCCGACCCCTGGTCTAGACCATCGCTTCTCCAGCACCACATTAGACCTTTTCCATGGTATTGTTGGGATGGTATCGGGCCCCAGTTCCCTATATATCAATAATTGCTGAGAATCCGGTTGTATACCGAATTTGGACTCATCCGTGAAGAGAACATTAGCCTATTGAAGCTGTGTCCATTGTTGATGTTGTATGCACCGTTGTAAACGCTCTCTTTTGTTAGAGAAAGTGAGTGGATGCAAATAGCGGGCTTTCTGGTATACAGTCCTGTCTCATAGAACCTTCTAGCAACTGTCTTCCTTGAAACTGATGTTCCTGTGGCAGTAGCGAGGCCACGAGACAGTTATGTGGCTGTAGACGTCCTCTGGCGCGTGGCCATAAGTACCAAATTCCGGTCGTCATTGGTCGTTGTGGCTCTCCGGCGACCTTGGACTTGCCCTGACTCAAGCTACTCACCATTCTTCAGCTCCTACCTTCGTCTAAGCAATGATGCATACTCATTTCAACCGCCCCCCAAAAAACAAGCTTATCCAAGAAATACAACAAAAACCACTACCGTGTTGCAAAGTGGAAAAGGCTGAACAGCTGTACGGGAACTTTTGTACCTCTTGCTGGTGTAGCAAAGCCCACAAGAATACATAAACTCATCTCAACGGCACAGTAACATTTTATGGCAGGCAAGCAACTGTCCAGGTTTTGAGTGTTATTTCAGGAGAAAATGAGGGAAAATGTTTCCTATCTCTTAAGTTTGTACACCAGTGTACTTTCAGTTACAAAAAGTTTTAAATAACATAAATGCTCATGTTTAGGCATTTTTAAATTTAAAGAAACCAATCTTTTAAAAATGACGAAATCTATCTTTTTATACTTTCCTCCAATCATTGTGTTTATATTTACGAAAATTTTGTACTTCTTATAAAAAGAAAGTGGTTTCTGTATAACAAAAAATGGCCAAGATATTTGACATTAAAATGAGGTCATATTCAGAAGCCATACGCAATATCTGAAGAATGAAATGTTTAACATAAAATATCAGTTTAGGAAAAGGCTTCTGATGTTAAGAGATTAAGTGAAAAACATTCCTATGCAATTTATTGTAAAAAGTGTTAATCCATGCAATTTTCCCCCCCAAAATGGAGATCTTATCCACAAAATCTAATAGAATTCATGTTCTAGAAAATACTGGCAGGAGCCAGTATTGCCTCATAGCCAATCGTAATTTTATTTGCATTAATTAAAAATGTAAAATATTTGTAATTTAATGAATTTTTTATGTAGTTACTTAATAATAAAGCTTCATGAGAATATTAATAACCTATTTTTAGACTTTGAAAACTTATAATAAATTATTTATGTGAAAATTCTTTCAGAGTATCATTTGTAAAAGAATTATAAATTAAAGAATGCTATAGACTAGTAAATCTAAAAGAAATAGTGAATAATAGCATTTACAGAAAAAAATCAATCTTGAATTATTCTAATTTAATTTATAAATAAATCCAAATTGAATTCAAATCAAAATGCCAATTGAAAATGACATAAAAAATAGCAAATTTGAGAGGGGAAAAAAAAAAAATCTCTGCCAATTTTTGTCCTTACGGGAGTCGAACTTCTTGTGTTTTATTTTTGACAAACAGCATAAAATTTTCTTAAGTGTAGGAACCAGAGAAACGTGTAAAAGATTAAATTTCGTAATTAAATATATATATATTTTTAAAATTTAAAAATGAAGAAACTTAAATCTTTGCGTGTAAGTATAGGCTTATGAACAACGGATGAAAAAATAAAGTCAGGAGAAGGACTTGTGTGAAAGCGGGGTATGTCATTGTTTTATATATGCATATAAAGTTCATTAATTGTATTTTGCGTTTATTTAAAAGTTGTAAATAATTAAAACAAATCATCTGCAGCTGTATTATCAAACTGAAACTTTCGCTTTGAAGTAATTTATTCAAGCATAATTTGTAACGGTGTTTCCTTTATTACTATTTTTTTTCCCCCTTTCGTGTGGTTTAAAAAAAAAAAGTTTGAAGTAGAATTAGAGACAATAAATTCTTGAAAGGGTCATAAAAGCTGTCGGAAAAGCTTGGGGACCCACGTTCTAAAGAATGACTAATTATTAAAAGTTGATCCAGATGTGTTTTTTTTTGCTTATCCAAGAAAAACTTACTGATTATAAATATTAATGCTGTTTTTTGTAATAAGTTATGTGTGGGTGGGGGAAGGGGAATTATAGAATGCAGTTATTTAATTAATAATCTATTTAATTTTAATTATATAATATTATAAAATTTAATATTAATAGTCAGTAAGCATTAATTCCATCATAAAAGAAATTTTTATTTTATCTGTAGGGGTATACTACTAAAATGTAATGCGTAAGAAAATACTAAAAATGCATGTTTAGATAGAACTTAAAAAAGTAATCAATTAATTAATTATTACGCAGAAAATTTAGTTTTCTGTTACACATCTGCGGCCTCCAAGAAAATATCAGATTTCAGAAGCTTTGGTACGTTGACATGAATATCAGTAAAAAAAAAAAATCGTAAGAAAATATATGGGATGTAACAGATATATAAGCAGTTCTGGAAATGTGATATTTTGAGTTTTGCTTGGGAAAAATAACAACTAGTTAATAAACAATAAGAGGGCTCTTTCATCAAAACGCAAACTGCGCTCCCGAAACAGACACGAGATGGCGAAAATAAGGTTAAAATGTCCTGTATCCCTCCGTCTGCGTACGAAATCACCCCTTCCGGATAATATGGTATCGTCCGACGGCCAGACAGTCTGCAGGCCCGTCGCTGCTATCAGTTCGCAGTCATTATTGCTAGACGAAGTAGAACGTTTGCGTTGTGAAACTTTTTCAATAAACTAAGGTTTGCCATGTAGTGGAGCTTTAAAAAAAAAAAAAAAAAAAAAAAAAGAATCACTGGACTTTTTTTTGTTGCGAAGAGCTTATTGTTGTTTATGAAATTTTATTTGATTTCAAACGAGTGAATAGCGTGGAAATACAGCGCAGCGTTCGACACTACCAGAAAGCGCTAAAGAAATTTAAACCCTTTGATAACGATTTGCTTGTCTAGCGGATTTTAATACTTTATTTTATTTACTCTTTAGCTGACGATTAGCGATAAGGTTGCATATGTGATATAAATTGTTAGATTCCACAAATGAAATTCTGATTTTGTGCGAGATTGGTTATTTTGATAAAGTTGACCTTTACGCTTACCATCATATGTGATCTGCATATCTCGAGTTCATCATAAAAAAGAAATTTATAATAAACGAACACATTCTAATATTACTTAAGAATCGATCAACAATATTTAATCTGATTATATGTAGAAGAATTAAGAATTCTCTTTGGGAATGGCAAATGGAGATGCGTAACTTGCTGTGAGTCAAATCAGAACAACCTCGAACTGTTTTACAAGTATAGAATAAACTTTTTGAATTAACCCAGATCCGAATACAATAGTAATTTGAAAATGTTCTGGCTTTAAAATTATGAAGATATCATATGATCAGCTGATCATGCTTCGGACAGTATTTAGAAGACGGTCCCTGACAGGCTAGTTGTCCCTTCAAAGGCTACAGAAGCCTATACAGACTCAAGCCAGACGTCTGCCGCCATGCAGACCGAGAGCCTCTCGCGAGGGATCGGCTACATTATTTTCCTCGTCATCGCTGCAGGTGAGTTCAGTTTTTTTTTTTTTTTTTTTTCTTTTCTTTTTTACTCACCAACTCCATATTGTTGTAATTGATGCAGCAAAAAAAATTTTTTTTCGGGGTCGGGGATGAATTGATTCAATACTGGTATTTTTTTTTTTTTTTTTTAAATAAAATAGTTATAAAGTATTTAATCCTTGAAGTTGTTTACAGGTCACTTGAATGTGATTTAAAACGATTTTAGCCAAACTTTTACCTCTCTGTTTCTATGAGAAATTTATTTTTATTCAGATTTTAATGAAATTAAAATTTTATCATTTGTGAATTTTAAGTTTTAAGATTTGATTTTTTTTCTCCAAAAGAATTAAGGTATTTATTTTTAGAGCAAGTTATAATGTATTTATGGGAGGAGAAAATGTGTATTAGTTCTTTTGTTAAGTTACTGAGGAATGGCTATGAATCGTAAAGTATATTCTCATAATTGATAACATCTTAGCTGGTTTATTACTTACAGAAGATATAGTAAGTGTGTCTCTGATAAAAAGGAGGGGTTTTTAAAAGGAAAGGTCTGTAATTATGTAATTATGTTGTACTTGGTTAGGGCTTGGTAAATACTGAGGGATCTAGTCGAATTCAGTTAGGAATTGTATTTATATAAAATGTAGGTGTTCTGTGACCATATGATTTTCATTGAACAAACAGATTAATTTTTTAGTTTAATAATCATGGTGTCGTAGGAGAGAGCAGTCATGAAGACTTTTAAGGGAGAACTGGCTCTTGTTTGTGTTATATTTGGGGGTCATGAAAATCCCATGTAGATGTCTTGATACTCCCAAAATAAATTTCTGTAGCTGTTTTATCAGTTTGCCAAGTGCCGGTTATCTGAGTATCCCCAATTTTAGCAGTTGAGTTCATGGTTTAAATCAGAATAAATGAATTGTCAGATTACAGAATTTTTAAGAATATTAGTACTGTGCTATGGTTTATTTATTTTTTCCAAAGAAAACTAGTTGTAAAGAAAAATTTTAATGAACATCCATTTTGGTACACAGTGGGTATGGTTGAGGCATTGCTAAGTATCCATGTTTGTTAATAGTCTCGGAAATATTGGTCATTTTCATACAATGTTTTGAATATGATGAGGTACTGTACTTTGAATATGAAAACTAATGAGTACAATAATTCATTATATTGTTGCGTGCGTATGGGTTCGTTTGAATTGAATGCACAAGTCTGATGAAAAATGAACAAAATTTATTATTATCACAACAAAAATGCTTAATTTTCCTCAGATATTCGTTCAGTATTACAATATCTCATAGTAGTTATCTTTTAACTACTCAAACGTTCAAGAGAACTAACTAACTAAACATCAGCAAACTAACTAAAATAACTAACTACCACAAACTGAGAGGTTTTTTTCCTTTTATAAGACTTTAAATCGCACGCGATAATTTTCTGCAACTTTCTCGAAATCAAAGAAGAGATATTTATTTATTTAATGTTAAATGCATGTGCTCTTGTATTTTTAATTTTTCACCTTAGCTTTCCTTTAATAGTCTTCATGCGCTGCACTACACGGGGATTGAAACAATTTAATTTATAATTCAACTAACGTTAGCTATTTAAATACCAAATACCTTTCTACATAAATACCTTTCTACATCAGTGGTGAGCTCCTGAAGTGTTTCGGTGGGCTTCTGTTGACGGGATTTTAATTGAAGACTGCTGTAGTCTTTTAAACATTTTTCGCCGAAGCACAGCTCCAATTGTGGCGGATAGAGCTTTTGAAATCTAGCCTTATGCTTTGGGAAGAATCTGAAGGATATCCGCCGCGTCTGGTCTCAAAGAAGCGGTAAGATAACAGGCCTTAGCTTGGGGATCCCATCCATTCGGTTCCACCACTATAGAAAATTGTGTTTTATACACTTGCCTAGAGGTCTTCCCATCATATGTAGATGACTTCAGAGAGGGACGAGCAGGCATGGGTAAGAATTTAAAACTATCAGAATTGTTCCCTGCCATCGCTATGATCTTCTTTAAAGTATCAACTTCTTTTGCAATAGCTGAAACCCTATCATTAATTTGTTGTTCGAAGGCAGAAACTCTCTTTTCTGTATGCTCTTTTACAGAAGAAACTATTTCTTCTTTCACTGAAGAAATGCTTTCTTAAATTTGATCTTTTATGGAAGAAACTTTTTCTTCAATTTGCCCAACTTTATTTTCAACCATGTCCATTCTATTTTCCATGGCCTCAAATTTGTTTTCTATTATGCAGCTAATTTCTCTTTTCATTTCTTCTTGACTGGCTTGAACAGCTTTCATTTCTTCCTTAATGGATTCTTGGCCAGCATCCATCTTCTCTTTGATTACTTTCATCTCCTCCTTAACAGATTCCTGGCCCAATTTCATCTGTTTCTGTCCCGCTTTTGTTTCTTCCTGTCCCGTTTCATTTCTTCCTTAAATGAGGCAAAGGCTGATATCAACTGCCTTAACTGTTCTTCCATCGCTCTTGTTATTGGCATTCAAATCCCACTTCTGACACCAAAAATTGTTGCGTGCGTATGGGTTCATTTGAATTGAATGCACAAGTCCGATGAAAAATAAACAAAATTTTGGAACTACTCTGATATGCGCCCTCAAGTCACCAAATTTCTCGCCAAACATTTTTGGCGAAAAACTCCACGCTGCCATATTGCTATCTAAATTTTTTGTCTACATTTCGAACTTTAAGCCTAAAATGTCTCCATAAACACGGTTTTCGCGAATGCAAAAACCAAGTTTTGAACACACAATTTAAGCTAAAAATCCGAAACAAAAACAAAACATTTAGATAGCAAAACCGTAAAGTTTTTAACCAAAATTATTTGACAAGAGTCCATGTACACCGCGATATGTTTTAACTTAAAAAAAAAATCTACGAATCGCACAATCTAGGCAACGAACAAATCTACAAACTACGCATACCTCGCTTTAATAAATTAACATAACAACGATAAATTTCAAAGAATACCATGTACACAGCATCCGGTTTAAACTTAAAAAAAATCTACGAATTGCACTATTTAGGCAACAAACGAATCTACGAACACCTCGCTTTAATAAATTAACACAACAACGATAAATTTCAAAGAATACCACGTACACAGCATCCTGTTTAAACTTAAAACATCTACGAATTGCATAATTTAGGCAACAAACGAATCTACGAACTACGCACACCTCGCTTTAATAAATTAACATAACAACAATAAATTTCAAAGAATACCATGTACACAGCATCCTGTGTACATGGTATTCTTTGAAAACTTTAAAAAAAAAAATCTACGAATTGCACAATTTACGCAACAAACGAATCTACGAACTACGCGCACCTCACTTTAATAAATTAACATAATAACAATAAATTTCAAAGAATACCACGTATACAGCGTTCTATTTCAACTTTAAAACACTAATCAATAAAATAACTAAAATAAATTTCAAACAATTAAAAAAAACAACAATAACAACAGAAATTCATACTAAAAAAAAAAAAAAAAATGAACATAACATTCTACAAAATAAGAACAAGAATAAAATAAAATGCACTTACCATGAATCAATGTTTTTTCGAACAGCAGAAATACCAATTTCATACTGCCACGTAATCACTATCGTATTTATATGACAGCCAGACACACTATCCAGAAAATTCAGACTATGGTTCACAAATAAATAAAAAAACAAATAATCACAAATCCCTACATCTATCACGCACAGCCACTAAAAATAATCTCCCATACCCTCTTTCCACACCTCCAAATACCCATTGCCCCTTAACAGGATGGCCACGACGATATTTCCTTTTGCCGAACTTCAATTCAACAACTTTCACCATTATATCTTTCCCTCTTAGCTTCTCAGACACAAAGCATGACGCGAACCAAGGAACTCCAGCGAAAGATTTTTCAACGTCAACAGGGTTGCCATACAACACGCAATCGCGCCAAAAACCAGTGCAGAACACATATCGCCACATTTGGTGAAATTAGGGCGTATATCAGAGTTGTACCAAAATTTTTTATTATCACAACAAAAGAATGCTTAATTTTCCTCAGGTATTCGTTCAGTATTACAATATCTCACAGTAGTTATCTTTTAAGAGAACTCAATTCAAAACAGCTAGAGAAAGCTAATCCGAGAATTCGCAACAGTCAACAAGAGCAGTTTTCTAAACAAACTCTTAAAACAACAACAAACAAACTAAAATCACATGAACTGAAAGGTTTTCCTCCTGTTATAAGATTTTAAATCGCGCGCATTAATTTTCTGGAACTTTCTCGAAATCAAAGAAGAGATATTTATTTATTTAATGTTAAATGCACGTGCTGTTGTATTTTTAATTTTCCGCTTTAGCTTTTCTTTAATATTCATGACGTGCTGCACTGCACGGGGATTAAAACAATTTGGTTGATCTTTACATTATGGTAACTTGGCGTTTTTTTGGCGAAAATTTGGCGACCAACTCTCCTACAGCAACCCTCTATTTTTTTTTTTTTCCCGCCGCTATTTTGTCTTCACGAAGTAAAGACATGTTTCTTTTCTTTTTATCTACTGAACACTTCTTCCAACAATCTACTAGCCGAATTACACTTATGCTAGAAATTTTATCTAACAAAACTGCTTAATCATGACAAATATTCACTGCAAAATTGGGAAAAAGTGCACAATACCATACTCCTTACGCGTTTTTCAAAATAACACATACACATAAACCATGTACACGCCACTTATTTTTACTTAAAAAAACATCCCAGAATTGCACAAAAATGGCATTGCGCACACTCTTCACTATATCCATGTACACTGCTTTTTTCTCATAAATTAGAAAAATTTCACGAAAATACATGACAATTTTCTCAATCTTTAAACCCTGTAAAAAGAACATATATGAAATTACCTGATCGCGAAAAAGTATTTACTCTTTCCAAATATGAACATTTCCACGTATAAAATAAATAAAATATCCAAAAACTTTTACC